GACCGATAAAATTGCTAAATACTATATTTTGGTCACGCTTTATTTGGATGGTCCCCTGTAGATGCTCTACAGCTACTTAAATCATTAACAAACTTTCTGGTGATCCTCAGTTGATTATCAACAACATTAGGATTAGGTTTAGGGTTTAGGGATAGATTTAATGAACTCTCTCACACTGATCTTCAAGTTCAGTTGAATTTAATGGAAGTTTAGTTGTGTAAATGCTCAGTCTGCCTTTCAGTAACAAAGCATCTACAGTGAACCATCTAACATTCAACTTCAAGTTCAGTGGCATTTCATGACTATTCAGTTGAGTGTTACTTAAATATATACTGAACATTTACAGAGAATCTACAGTGGACCATCCAAATAAAGTGTTACCAAATATTTTAACCTCTTCAACTCCTTGAGACCACTGGTGGTTCCAAAACACACTTCTTCATATTCTTCATAACTTTCATATTTCATAAGCTACATTCAGAAGGTGGGGGTCGTATGAGAGCTGGAACTGTCTTCTTTCCAGTCTAATAGATGGGTGATGTAATTTTAAATCCCTTATAATAAAAGAAGCTGAACTCTTTTTTTCTACTGAAAGTCGACCCATTTTTCCACAAATCTGGGCTATAAACTATAAACAGATGGCGTCTCTTCAGTGATCTGCTCTGTACAAATTATTTTTATAAAATAATACAAAGAGTGGCTGAGATTTTTGGCTTTCAGCAGTAAATTGTAAGCATATAGCAACGTGTGTATAAATAAATAAATGTAAATTTTTATTTTATTTATTTCATGCAGTTACTGAATAATTTGCCTTACGATTTGGTCATGAAAATTCAGATGGAGAAACCCAAATATACCCTGGAGAATAAGAGGTTAAATAATTACCTTTTAAATACCGTATACAGATTATGACAAATATTTACAGATTTATCTTTAAGTCTTTATGTTGCAGTCATGAGAATTTACTCACAAACTGCAAAATGTTACTAAAAATGAGTTTAAAATCAGTTAAATCATCCAGGTTTATGGTGAATTATTCGAATAGGCAACACTGTTTGCACAACCCGAAAAAGAAAACGTTACGCCTGTGATTTTAATCTTTAATCATCTCAGTGTTGACGTTGGTGAGAATAACCCGAATGGAATACAGTGTTTTTTCTGTCATATGAATCTGAATCTGTATGTTTTTCTCCTTTCAGCCAAAGTCTGGAGGAAGGAGACGAGGAGGCCAGAGGCATAAAAGCAAATCTCAAACTAACTCCACAGCGCCTCCTGCTGGTGCAGTCGGGAGCTGCTAAACTCACTTTAGTCCTCCACTCCATCAAGTGTCTTTGTAGCTTACAGAGCATTGAAGATTTTCATGATTTTTCATGCGAAAGAGGTTTTACAGTCGGCCGCGCCCCCAGCTTCTCATTCGTTTTATGCTTCACGTCGAAACGGACTGACCACTGCTTCTTACAAACGAGGAGTCCAAACAGAACCAACATGCAGTGTCGAGGAGAATTTTAACTTATTATGAAAATGTGTGTTCTTAGAGGTTTACGCTGTAGTTATTATAGTTATTAAGAACAACAGAAAAACCCGAAACTGCATGATGGTTCTTTTTATTACTGTTTTTTTTTTCTTTTTAAAAAAAATCCTGGTTATGCTGCCTCTTCTGAAGAAAGGATAATCGTTGAAATGGTCAGGAGGAAACATTGGCCTTCTCCCATCAAACGTGGCGTTGTGCACTGACTAGGTAGCTCATTCTAATAATGTTTTTTTTTTTTAAGATAATCCTGTTTTGAGTTCTTAACATTATGCATTTTTGTGAAGACAAGGAAATTAGTCCAATTATAGCAAAACAAAAAAATAAACCAGAATATGCTTCGGCACAGTGTAATGATCAAAGCATTAAAAGGCGTGAACCAGTAATTGGAAAGGATTTCCAGAATTCACAGCACCAGAGGACCAAATGTGTCTTGGTTTTTCTGTGGAATTTGACTGATTAAGGGGCCATTTACCCCCCCTCCCCCATTAAGCTAGCAGTGACACATTAGGATGCACAAGCAAAACATAGATTCAAGTGGCGAAACTGAACACACACATCTTATTGTAGCACAACTGTTCAAGCTAAAGATGTTTTATGTAGCTCCCATTTTATCAAATGGAAATGAAATACCACCGTTTCACAAAAACAGGCGTGGACTGCAGATTTAAAACGTAACGCACATCATTCACAACCCAAACAGCCCTTTTGGTAATAAACGTCCTCCGTGTGAAAGCTGAATTCCAAACCAAGTAAAAGATGTTGCGGCCATTAATGTTTCCACTGGTTTTACCACTCTTTGGATTTTTGTCATCACAACCCTGAAGGAAAAGTTCTTGGACCATCATCACTGTTTACATGTTGTGAAACTGCACACCATTTTTCCAATGATGCTACAAAATAATAAACTGGTGGTAAATCACACTTGTCTCAGGGTTTGTTGGTTCCCCCCATATATATATATATATATATTATATATATAAATATAATATGTGTATTACACACACTGATCAGGCATAACATCATGACCACCTCCTTGTTTCTACTCTCATTGTCCATTTTCAGCTCCACTTACTATATAGGTGCACTTTGTAGTTCTACAGTTACAGACTGTAGTCCATCTGTTTCTCTGCATACTTTGTTAGCCCCCTTTTACCCTGTTCTTCAGTGGTCAGGACCCCCACAGACCCTCACAGAGCAGGTACTATTTGGGTGGTGGATCATTAACACACCACCACCACGTCAGTGTTACTGCAGTGCTGAGAGTGTGTGTTGCGCTGGTGTGAGTGGATCAGACACAGCAGTGCTGATGGAGTTTTTAAACACCTCAGTGTCACTGCTGGACTGAGAATAGTCCACCAACCAAAAATATCCAGCCAACAGCGTCCTGTGAGCAGCGTCCTGTGTCCACTGATGAAGGACTAGAGGATGACCAGCACAAACTGTGCAGCAGCAGATGAGCTATCGTCTCCGACTTTACATCTACAAGGTGGACTGACAAGGTAGGAGTGTCTAATAGAGTGGACAGTGAGTGGACACAGTGTTTAAAAAATCCAGCAGCACTGCTGTGTCTGATCCACTCAGACCAGCGCAACACACACTAACACACCACCACCACGTCAGTGTTACTGCAGTGCTGAGAATGATCCACCACCCATATAGTGCCTGGACAACAGCAGCCTTGTGGTCAGAAACAGTGCTGAATGGAGTAGAGGAGGGCTGCTACACTGTCCAGCAAATGATGGACTACAGTCTGTAGCTGGACATGTACATAGAGGAGCTGTAAGGTTTGTGTTTCTAATAACGTGGCCATTGAGATTTGACATGGTGATGATGATGATAGACACATGTCTATACCCTCATAGGCCACTGCCCCATGACCTGGGCTGTATAGCCTCTGTGTGACCACACAGCTTAGCAGTGAATTGTTTTGTTTAAAAAAAAAAAAAAAATGGGTTAAATAAAAATGCAAACGGATTTTCACCTTTTTTTAATAGTTCCTCTGATTACATTTGCAAGACAAAGCAGATTCAGATACTTCATGATAAATCAATGACGTCCTCTTTGGCTCCACAGAGGCCGAGCGCAACCCCACATCAGCTGCACTCCAGATTCTACACTTCAGAGAAATGAAATGTACACGAAAGAGGTCCACGTTCCAGCGCCTAATCCTGCTGTACACTATAATACAGGACACTGTCGCTGTCCTAAAACGTCTCTCTGAAACGGCACAGAAGAAGAAAAATAATATTCTTAACTTTCACAATGCAAGTCAAGTTATTCTGGGTAATTCTGGACCACTTCTGTCATGAAATGTTCATATAATGTAAAGGACAGCCAGCGTTTTCAAACAAAACAAAAACTGGAAAAGGAAAAGTACGAGGTTTTGAAAGAACAGCGACAATATGCTGGTTCTACTCTCTACTTCCACCACCTGCTACCGTTTTTCATTTTTATCTTTTAGGCCTACAAGTAGTGCTGAGGAAAGGTGCAGAAAAAAGACATTCTGATGTAGCTACACTGTGCAAGTTAATTCCAAACTAAAGGGGAAAGTTTCAAGTCATTCAGAGTGGCTGTTCTAGAGAAACCTGCCGAATCAGAACTGTTTATAGCAGTGGTGATAGAAACTAGACATCTGAGGAGTCTTTAAAAGCTCCTGCACAGAAAGCTGTTACATGAAATGGTTATGAATACGATGCCTGAGACACTTTAGTTTTGGCCTTAAATGTAGTATTTAAAATCAACACTGATCAGGCATAACATTATGACCACCTCCTTGTTTCTACACTCATTGTCCATTTTATCAGCTCCACTTACTATATAGGTGCACTTTGTAGTTCTACAGTTACAGACTGTAGTCCATCTGTTTCTCTGATACTTTGTTAGCCCCCTTTTACCCTGTTCTTCAGTGGTCAGGACCCCCATGGACCCTCACAGAGCAGGTACTATTTGGGTGGTGGATCATTCTCAGCACTGCAGTAACACTGATGTGGTGGTGGTGTGTTAGTGTGTAAACACTGTGTCCACTCACTGTCCACTCTATTAGACACTCCTACCTTGTCAGTCCACCTTGTAGATGTAAAGTCAGAGACGATAGCTCATCTGCTGCTGCACAGTTTGTGTTGGTCATCCTCTAGTCCTTCATCAGTGGTCACAGGACGCTGTTGGCTCGATATTTTTGATTCTCAGTCCAGCAGCAACACTGAGGTGTTTAAAAGCTCCAGCAGCACTGCTGTGTCTGATCCACTCAGACCAGCGCAACACACACTAACACACCACCACGTCAGTGTTACTGCAGTGCTGAGAATGATCCACCACCCAAATAGTACCTGCTCTGTGAGGGTCCATGGGGGTCCTGACCACTGAAGAACAGGGTAAAAGGGGGCTAACAAAGTATGCAGAGAAACAGATGGACTACAGTCTGTAACTGTAGAACTACAAAGTGCACCTATATAGTAGGTGGAGCTGATAAAATGGACAATGAGCAATAAAACAAGGAGGTGGTCAGAATGTTATGCCTGATCAGTGTATACAAGTAGTATCCAAAGTAAACTTGAATGATGAATGACGTGTAAATTAGGAAAAATGGGTGTAATTCCCCTTTAATGCTAACTGTGATTTAAAGTCGTCAGTCATCAATACAGTCCAAAACGGGACTTCTGAAATGGTTTCTTGAAAAGTGGTCCGACAACAGTGAAATATGACCAAACACGAACAAACATCACTTCCGAAATGAATATACATTATATACAGAGCTCGTGGTGCAAATTTTAACACCCCAAAGTGGTGCTGTGCAAAAAACAAGGCAAGCGCCAGACACTGGGCTAATCCTACACAAACACTGGTAGGACTACTGTCTAAGGAGCTGAACGAGGTGAGCGTGTGTGACGTGAATATCCACAGAAGTGTATTAAGAAAGTTCATTCATCGCTCTGTGCATGCCCTTAGTAGTGCCATCCAGGATAAAACCCTCCCTGTCCTCAGCGAGGAACTTCAAATTCAGACAAAACCTGGTGAAGGAATGTGGAGATTTTATGCATTTTGAGGTACAAACCTCTGAAGTCGTGTCGTTCTGTAGTTGGCTATATTAGAAACGTCAGGTCTGAGCTGGTTTTGTCTAACAGAAATTAATGGAGTTTTTGAAAATCGCTGCCATCACACCCTGTTGCACACAGTTAGACTGACAGCCTCTCCAGAATACCGAAAAAACCCACACTGACCAGCAGGCTTTGACAAATGTGGTAGTTTGTTGCTTTGCCAGGAGAAGACAACAGTTTTAGCAACTGCTGTGGTTATATAATAGTGTTCATTAATAGACTAAAGGCTGCTGCACACTGGACGTTTCATCTCACACAGCGTCCAAAATTTCAAAACCAGTGTTTTTAATGGAGGTATGTACATTTTAGTTCACCACAGGGTGCGATGGAGGCAATTTTCGAAGACAACATTGACTTTTCTCAGAGAGAAAATCTGCTTATACCTAGAGTTTCTAATACAGGCGGAACGGTGACTTTTCCAATAAGTGCGAGTGCACAAAACTGGCCACTGGTGAGACACACTGGTATCTGTACACTCGAACACTCACTACTGCAACATGATTATGTACAGTGTTTCACAAAAATCAGTATCACTCCTAACACCTCCTCCGATCCTGCGTTTAATTTTTTTGCCCTTGGTTACGACGAGTGAGGGTGTCCATCTCACACGCTGTGGGTTTGAACTGCAGTCTAACCATCGATGTCCCAGCTGAAGAGATGATGCTTCACCAGCATGTCCTGAACCCCCTCCTTCAGGGGCTTCTGCTCCTTTTCCTAAAGAGAGAGAGAGAGAGAGAGAGGGTGAAAAGGATAGAGAAAGGAGTGATGGGTACAGAGAAAGAGGGACAGAGAGAGACAAAAAGAAGAGAGGAGAGAGATAGGAGAGATGGAGAGAAAGGGACAGAGAGAGGGAAGGATAGAGAAAGAAGGAGGGAGGAACAGAGAGAAGGATAGAGATAGGAAAGAAGGAGAGATAAAAAGAGGGACATAGGGATGGAGAGAGACAAGGAGGAACGAAGAGAGAAGGACAGAGATGGGAGAGAAAAAGAGAAGGATAGAGATAGCAGAGAAAGAGGGACAGAGAGAGATGGAGAGAGACAAGGAGAAAGGAAGAGAGAGAAGGACAGCGATAGGAGAGATGGAGAGAGGTAAGGTGGGAGGAAGAGAGAAAGAGAAGCATAGAGAGGGGAGATGGGGAGAGAAAGAGGGACAGAGAGAAAGATGAAGAGAGAAAGAGGGAGGAAGAGAGAGAGGGACAGAGAGCAGAGATGGAGAGAGAGGGAGGGAGGAGAGTTAGAAGAGATGGAGAAAGGAGAAAAAGAAAGGTAGACAAAGAAAATTAAAGGGAGGAAAAGGAAAGGGGGCAAGAATGAGACACAAAGGGGGTTGAAAAAAGAGAGAGAGAGAGAGAGAGAGAGAGAGAGAATATGAATAAACAGCATGACGGTGAACTTCATAGTGTTTTCATGGTTATTGGAAGTGCATGCAGCATCTAATAGGACGTGTACCATGTGCTGCCATGTAAGATCACTAATATGGTAAAAGTGTAATATATATGTAATAAGCGCATGAAATTCATCACAATATTTAATTTTTATTTTTTTTTGTCCCCAATAGTATCACATAGAGCTGGGCCAAGGTTTTTACAATACATGATGCTTCGTATGTATTGTTTCTGTCATCTGATAAATTAGAACAAAACAGGGCCACATTTTAAAAATACTGTCAAAAACTGAATCAAACTGTATTCAACACTGCACAAACTGTGCTGCACTAAATCCAATTAAACACAAATAATTAAGCTCTCTTTTTAATCAAACATGCAGTTCTAACAGGATTCACTGACGATATCCACAAAATGCTCAGAACAGCATATTGTGACATACTGTGATGTAATTTATCATGATAATGATAAATATTGTCATATTGCCCAGCTCTACAATCAAGCCTATGAGCTTCATTTAAAAGACTACTAGAAACAGTGAGAAAAACGACTAATAAACTAAGATGGGCTGCCATCCAATCAGCTACTTGTTACTATGCGGTTTATACCAACACTGGCTGTTGTTGTTTAGTCTCTCTGTTGCTCATTTATGAAGCAGGCAGTTGTTTAGTCTTCTAAAAACAGTGACTATAGCAATTATTCAGAAAAGACATGATAGAAAAGAGTATTGTGACTTATCAGGATCATGTTGCTCGCCCTAATGCCCAACCATCCCAACCAATCACCGCCCACAGTACTGAGACACAGCCCATGCACAAGTCAAGCTAACCAATCCCCTTAGGTCACGATAGAGATAACCATGGTGCTTTTACAGTGTGCTTAGCTAAAGGTCACTATGGAAAAGGCTCCTGCTAATGGACACGTTTTTGCCTTGACATTTACATTAGCATTCTCAGGTTTCCCCAGTGAACACAGAGGCACCACTGAGTCAACAAGTGTAACGTCTCAGCGAGCTTTTCCAGTCGAGACGTAAAGTACATTCACCCTGGAGAGGACAGGACACAAAGCATGTTCCACAGACTCTTTCACAAGGACGTTAGAGAACAAATGCTGAATGGCGAGCGCAGAAGGGAACCGTTCATTATGCAAACCAAGCCCGGTCACCTGAGCTGCTGTTTATCAGGGATTTTGTGAGCTAAAGTAATTCGGCTGTGCGAGTGTTGAGACGTGGGTGAAGTGTGGCGTTTGTTTTCGTGGTCAAGTGGCACAAAGGTGACCCAACCTGTTCCTCTACTGAAGATTAGGGCGGTCAGAAATAAAATGAGAATTTTCCTCCTTGTTTTTTTTTTGGTTTGTTTATTTGTTTGTCAGATATTTAAATATATCCAAATTCAAATATGCAAGTCAGAGACGACCCTTCATTTATGTAATTTCCAGTCAAGATGATCAATAAGTAGAAATTATACATTTTCAGCCGTGGAAAACATATTGATCAGAAAATTACACGGAAACTTTGCCGACAAAATATCTATTTATTGTGTCCACGCTTTACTGTTATTGCAGCTTCCATTCTTTTCAGGAGACTCACTTTCAGCTCCTCAAAGAGTCTGCAGACACACCTCCAAAGTTCAGTCTTAGAAGTTGGTTGATTATTTTCTGAAGTAATCAAACACATTCAGTGATGCTGAGGCCTGGACACTGGAGTGGTCAGTTCATTGTTCAGCTTCTTTGTTTGATGTATCTGTCCTTTTCTCAGTGAGGGCCTCTTTAGGCATCCCAAGTGTTAGGAGTTTTGTAAACTCCTGTTCCCCCCCCCACTTATTTTCCTTTAACTTTGTCCTTCATTAAGTAGATTTTCTTATATCTAATGGCTTAAGGGTGGTCTCAGACTTTCAAATAGCACTGGAAGTAGAACAGCTAACTACTGTAAACACCAGGGGCCTCATTTCTAAAACATTGTATGTACAGATTTGATCTTAAAAACAGTGATATGGGAAAAATCCTGTTTAAGTAGTAATTTATAAAAAGTGAATTTGACTTGGACATGTGCGTAGATTAGGTTTCCAACCTGACGTACGAAGGCAACAAGAATTGTGCTTTTATAAATCAGTCGTGCCCAAAAAAGTGAGAACTTAAGAATTCAAGTTAAATTTTAAGTCTATTTTATAAATGTGCCAGATTTCTAAGTCAACGTTACGTCTCTAACATTCACTACCTTATTAATATTATGTTATTAATAGCTTACTGTGCTACGAAGTGTCCATATTCAGAGTTTTGGCCTTACTTTATAAAATCATGAATAATATCATGCTTCGTTCAGAATGACTGAGCTGCAAAAAAGCTGTCAGAGCGAACAATTCAAAGCTCTAATTGAAGCCAAAATAAATAGTTTTGTTTGTTTATGGTCAACAATGTTCGTCCCTTGGTTTGGTCATCACCATCTGTGATAATGTGTAATTTACTGGCCTGTAACATAATAAAAGCTGCAGAAGAGGCTTTAAACATTCAAATCACTGTTGTTGGAAGAAAACCTTGTATCTCCAAAATGGTAACTTTACAGGAGAAGGAAAAACCTACTTTACTTATAATGCAAGTCAATGGAACCAGACTTTTTCCCCTCAAGTCATTTTGTGCCATTTCTTTTGGGCCATTCATCATGAAATTTTCACACAGTGTAAAGGGCAACAGGCATTTTCAAATTATGTCTAAAAACAACAAAAAACTGAGATATGAGGTTTTCTTCCGACAGCAGCAAGATGGACATTTTCTACATTCAAATGTGCATTTTTTTATTGGATTTGTTACATATTCAATTGACAGCCTTACTTCATGTGAAAAAAGTAAGGTTTAACTATGCAGCTGTGAGAAAAATAATCCCAAAACAAACACCAACAACCCAACAAAACATCTTTAGCTAAGAGCCTGATTGTTTGCCAGTAGGAATCTGTAAACTCTAATGTCTTGCTGAGCTTAGTAGGTGCCCATGCATAGTTACGGTTTCTAAGCTGAGACTGGACAAGCGCTATTTAGGGGCGAATGTCAGCAAAAGGATCAGCAGATTAATGGAAACAGAAGAAGCCAGCAGGGAAGAGGGACACACCCAAAGCTATAGCTACTACCACCACGGTTACTATGGCAGCGAGTTACCAGGGAGCAGCTAACTGGTTGCCAGAGTTACCTAGATGTCCCAACTAAAGAGGTGATGTTGCACCAAGACATCCACCACTTCTGATTTCAGAATGGGTAACTTCTGGAACAGCAGACACACACAAATGCACGTTATCCTGAGTGCGGCCGGTGCGTCTATGTGAGCGTATGAACGACAGAAAAGTTGAGTGAATGCAGATCAAGATAACTCACCTCTTTTTTGGCAGGCAATTCGCAGTCTTGTGAGAGACTGAAGGCAAATTTGGAGAGAACTCTGAAACAGCATAAAAACACACACAGACTCATTGATGAATAGTGGGAACTGTAAAATAGTAGGGTGTAAAATGCAAAAATCTAAAAGTGCATTAATTTTGGAAAGTTAGAATCAATTAAGATTGCTTGGAATATTATTCAATAATATATATAATAATAATATTTTTTGGCCAAATAAATTATTTCAAAAGTAAAAAACAGAACGTCTGAATTGTTTAACTATCAGGTTTCTAAACAGGGATTAGTATCACACATCTACAACTCTATTAGAAATAACATTTAAATGGGAATGGGAACTGAACCAACTTGGATTCCATCCTATGTGACACCGTATATGGTCTAACCTGACTATTACCTTGAAGAATCTCGCTCATCAATTAATCAATTTTAAATGTATACATAGGGCCGACTCCACACCATACTTAAGACATAAAATGGCCAGGGTTGCCATACCCTAATTGTACTTCAATGCCGATTCTGTGGCACTTCTTTGCATATGTTTTGGGATTGCACTGAGATTAGCAAACTCTGGGACTATATATTGTAAACATTGTCTCACATGTGAATTCCTATTAACCTCGTATTCTCCAGGGTATATTTTGGGACGTCTCCAAAACCCTCAGTGTTTGAAGAGATTTCTAAATAAATGTCCGAACGCGGCCGCAGGAGAACGAGGCTGCAGCGTCAAAGAACAGTTAAGAGTCTGAAAGCAAAGTTTAAAGAATCCGAGGACGCAAACCAAAGAAGTGACCGCGGCCCTTTTTATGGCTCCAACACATTCTGGGTGATGAGCCCGGTTTTCAGTCAGTGGCGTTCGTTGGCAGTCATGATTGTTTACCTCTTGATGAGCCACGTGAAGCAACGTGAAGCTTTGATCTTTTGTGGGTCAGTTTAGGAGCTGATCTGTTCAGACTGATGTCTCATACAGATCACATTTAAAACATAATGTGAACATCCAAACAAAAAAAATCGGATTTGGTGAGAAAATCAGATTTGGGCCACTTTTACCTGCTGTGTGAACGCAGCCTTAGTTCCAGTTTAAGGAAGCAAAACTTGGACACCAAACATGTCTTGGCTGTTCAGCTACACTGGGAGTGGAAAATTGTGTACACCTATTTTTTGGGCCAAACCCAAGATGTTACTGATGTTGCTGTTTTCACCTGAGCTCACACTTGATCTGCACCCAGCCGGGACTGCGCAGGAAAGACCAGGGCTGGTACCATTTCTCTACTGCGTTTATACTGGAGCACAGAACCTCCAGCCACAGGTGCAGGACCTGCTCACTGCAAAAGACAAACGCAGGCAGAAACAACATACATGAAGTCATCAAGAAGTAAAAGTGTTTGTGTTAGGGCTCGGATATCGGCAATGACTGACAAATAACAGGATTTTGATCCTTGACAGGCGATAATCATCCATTCTGGGAAAAAACTGACTGAAAATTTGACAGTCCTGAATAAATTTAGAGTTGCACAGCATGAACAAAGTAAAATGAAGCTGTTGGATATTGTAGAGACAATGTGAAATGTGATAAATAATTATTTAAATTATTACTTTTCTTGCACTGCAATTTGTAACCCTACAGAAATGCATGTTGAGATTTTTCTGTAATGCTAATCCGGGTAGATGTAGCCTCATTTTCTACATTTCTTAAAAGTTCAGGTATCTGCATCAGCAGATATGTACATAACAAATATCGGATATTAGTATTGGAATATGGTTCCCATATCGATGCATCCCTAGTAATTTGATCCATTCTGTTACCGCTGCCCTTATTGATGCATTTATCACTGAAACTCATATGGCAATAATGATAAAAACATGATTTATTATGCAGCCCTAATTTATATGCCATGTTTTATACCAACAGTGGGCTTTAACATTTCTGCTACAGGTTTACAAGAGTGAGATAATTTATTTAAACATTTTTCACATGGAACAAGCGTCCCAATGGAACTGTAATATTATGAAATGTATATGAAAATTAAATCCCACTTCAAATCCCAGATAAAGACTTACTAATTTTTCTCTTTGTCCTGCCATGTCATTGTGCTGTTGTCTCGCCAAATCATGTTACATTGCTGTGCCCTTCCTCTGTATTGTAAGTTATGTTTTCCTGTTCTGTTTTCGGTTGAATGGCCATTTTTTGTGGCTCCTTCATAGTAATGTTTTAATGACCTTTTTTCTCCTCTATATGTTCTATTATTGATCTGTAAGTGACTGAGGTCGAGAAAGACACTAAACACAGATACACTGTCTGTGTTTACATGCAAAGATTTCTGCCAATCCGATTGAATACAATCTGATTATAGATTAAGACTGAGGTGCTTATATACTCACTCTACTCAACAATCTGATGGAAAATCTCCGTTTACATGTGCACCACAAGTAATCAGATCCAAAATGACGCATATGTCTGGAGTACCAATTAGTATATACGTTACCATGACAACCAGCATCATGTGAGTCCAGTCAAAGTGAGATGAGCAGCAGTGACTTTAAAATGATGTCAGACACAGGAAAGCGTCCTTCACATGTCCTTATTAAAGAAGGCCGAGAGGAAGACGTCGTGTTCTGAGACACATAAGCTGGACGTCCGTCCCACCGCCGTCTTTTAAAGACCAGAGCATAAACTTCGTCTCCTCTGCAGACCAGTTTCTGCTCCGCCATGTTGAACGTTACAAACTTTCACTATGACGCGACGAACATGATCAGAACGGACTTAAACTTTCCGATAGGGAATGTAATCAGATACAGACGTTTACACAGATATTATTCTTCTATTTAACGGATTATTTACAGGATTACCCACCTCGATTAATCAGATAGAAATTGTATTACGAATGGCCTCAGTCGGACTAGTCTGTTCTGATTGAGGTGTTTACATGGACGTATTCTATTCTGATTGAGCCATTAGTCGATTATTAACAGTTTATTAGGCCGCATGTAAAACGTGGCTACTGATGATGATCATTGTAGACGCTTTTGACAGTGGACAGGGATGAGATTGGGCTCACTGACAGGTCTGCGGCTACACGGCCCACGTGCAGCAGGGTGCGATACGCGGTGTGTTGTGACACATTCCTCCTGTAGCCAGCATTAAAGTTGGTTTCTGTGACTTGTGCCACAGTAGCCCATCTGTCAGTTCAGACCAGACGGGATGGCCTTCTTTGCCCCTACGTGCATCAATGAGCCTTGGACGCCCAACAAAGCACTGCCTTTTCGGACATGCTCCGACCCCAGTCGTCTGGCCCTTGTCAAAGATGCTCAGGTCGTCATACCTGCCCATTTCTCCAGCATCCAACACGTTGACCACCAGAACTAACTGTTTAACTATTAACATATCCCAGAGTATCACATGCACCGCTGTTCCGAGATAATCAGTGTTATCCGCTTCATCTGTGAGCACTTGTAATGTTTTGGCATTATGTGTATGTGTATATATATATATATATATATATATATATATATATATATGATTATGATGGTTTCCCAAAGTTATCTGTCATAAATTCTAGACTGCTACTATGATGGAAATACGATAATGTATTTTTTGTTTTTTTTAGATACCACCCAGCACTAGGTGAGAATGAAGAGTCAAAAGGGAAAGGCTTACTTCAGTCCCACACAGATGAGCGAGCGGAACTTGACATCCATCTGAGCATGAGCGGAGTCATGGCTCATATTGACAGACTGTACAGCCTGAGGAGACAGAGAGTGGGACAAGATTTACACAATGCAGTGAATATTCCCTCAGGGAGGAAATGAGTCTCATTAGTGACTCACTCTGTACAGAAGCTCCTCAGGAGTGAGCACCTTCCCATCTTCATCTAACCTGGAGACACAGAGAGAGAGAGAGAGAGAGAGAGAGAGAGAAATATTTAAATATACATAATAACTAGGGATGCACTGTGTTAGTGAATCATATCAGTTAAAAGGAAAAAGTTGAAGTGACACTGGGTTACTCCGCTGAATTATCTGTATTTTATTTCATTTGTAACACTAATACAGGTGGATTTAGTCCCAACTTTAGTCCCAACTATTTTATAAATGTGTCTATAGCAGCAGAGTCATCAACAAATGTATGAAGATGTATTATATTGGACATCGACCCAAAATTCTCATACTGGTGCATCCCTATCAATAACAATCATGTATTAAAAGGTCAGTGTTTTTTCAGTACTACAGTGTGTTCTCTACACACAAAATACTCTTTAGCTTCTTTATTTAAACAGATCAATACAACATGGCATAACTGTGCATGTGATTTGACTTGGAGGAGCAGAGATGCAGTCATTAAAATATCTACAGGTGAAAAACATACAAGTGAAGACATACTGTATGCTCATTGGTATATTAAAGCTATTTAGCTAAAGAGTCTTATTGAGTTGACTTGACGATGTTTTATTATTATACAGTCTTTTGTCACAGTCATAGTTGTTGAGCTAGAACCACAAAATTTTGCAGGTTTATAGAGCCTATACAGGAGCAGTGCACTTGTGCTTTTAGGATCAATCAGCGCTTGTTCAGGTATGATCTGATCTGTGAGGATCCATGGGGGTCCTGACCACTGAAGAACAGGGTAAAAGGGGGCTAACAAAGTATGCAGAGAAACAGATGGACTACAGTCTGTAACTGTAGAACTACAAAGTGCACCTATACAGTAAGTGGAGCTGATAAAATGGACAACACCTAAGTAACCAGATGGAAGTTCATATCAACGGCTTTCTTATGCCAACTTAAAGTTCATTCACAAACTTTCTGCTTCTAGTTAACTTATTTTTACATTTTTGAATTTTTTGTATTTAAAATAAGAAAAATCAAAATTAATTTGTAAAACAAATCAAATCTCATTAAATTAGATGATGTCTTAAAGGGCTGTAATCCAATCAGCTACTTGTTCAATTATTCTTCAATGGTTGTTGTGATTTTCAGACTCTCTATAATTGGTCTAAATCTGTCTGTAAGATCCATGCAGTTGTTCAGTGTTCTAGACTACTGATTACACCTATGATATATTCAAGAAAGCATACTGTGATGTAATTTATTATAACACCATCATATTGCCACTTCCTGTTCTGAATGTAACTCACCTGTAGGTCTTGCAGAGCACCAGTCTAGAATAGACTGAGTTAAAGTCCCTTTCAACCTCCCTGCTGGCTGCCTGTAATCAAAACACACATATGCAGCCAATTAAGTACAATTTTATATTGTTTAACAATCAGTCTTTTTTCTTAATTTGAAACCAATTTGGCTGCAGATTAATGTTTACATGATTTTAACAAAATTTAGATGTGTTGAGAATGATGAATGGAGACATCTAATGATGCATAAAGCTGTAGAGTATTGAGAATCAAGTTATAATAAAAGTAATATCCAAAATGCCTCATATTTCAAAAGTGATGACAGCTAAACAGATAATTACAGTGTAATATTTAGCATTTAATCACTTTTGTTGTTACCAAAATAGTTGGAATACAAACTGAAACATCTAAAATACATTTTGGTGTCTATAAGAGCTAAATCTACATTTTAGTTCCTTAACAAGCAGCTTGTTGCGACGTCAGAGTAACAGCCTCTGCTCACTCGCTGCACAGTCTGCTGTAAGCCTCACCTTTTAAAGCACAGACTGAGCCATAAAACTGCCACAATATCAAGTTTAGCTCAGTTTTGTCAGTTTTTGCCAGATCAGTATTAATGTTGTTTTGTTCCAGCCAGTCTGTAAAGCATCTTACAGCCCATTTAGTTTGGCGAATGGATTTGGGTTCATTTCTGGCTGATTCCAGGTTGTTTAGCTGTTCTTCTGTCACAGCTGCCGACTGAAAAGCTGCTCAGTGGTGATGACAGTTTGGGAATTTAGTGTCGTCTCATCTTCAGAGTCTGACCAAATCGGCTGTCGGTCAAATGTGATCGTAAAAGTATCCATTTTCTGTTTGTGGCAAAGTAAGAAGTAAAAACATTCAAATGGCTTGAGCGTCTCCTATAGCTGTCAAACTCGTTGCTTAGCAACAGCGTCTCAGCAGAGTGATACAGTGTTTGTGAAAAAAACTTTTTTGTTATGGCGAAATAACAGCACAGTTAGAACGCTTCTCAACCAATCAGCTCCCGTGGCCGGAACTAACTGTCCTATAATATTATATATAAAAAACCACAAAATCAATGACAAAATTCTGAGCAGTACTGTATTGTAAACTTATGCATGAATGTTTTATATAAAAATACTGTAGTAGAGGAGATTCTAGCCACGTCACCTCCTCAATGAAAAGCCAGGGGTGGCAGGGTCCTCCAAGTATTGAAGGCTTCTTTAGGCCATGCTGAAAAATGGCCTTCAGCGCTGGACACAGCGTACCCCGGACCAAATCTGTTATCGCCTCCGTCACAGAGTCGTCTCCTGCCAGGGAATACTGACACATACACAACCACTGCTATAAATACAAAGCTAATACATATAAAAGGTGTTGAGCCAGTGCTTTATTTACATGAACCACTTTCAACAACACATAAAAACAGGTATTCACCAACCTCTTTACTCCGTTCATCCAAGACTTCGACAAATTTAGCAGGAAACCAACCTGTACACAATAATAAACAATGGTGGGTGAGGACGTTTTCCATTAGAAATAAAAGGCTGCAGAGCGTTTTCAGTAGCTCTTACCCCTCAGACCGTTCAGCTCCCCCACCCAACAGTGCTCATCCTTCTGGGAGATGATCTGAGAGTACACAGACAGAAGATAAGTAAGAAAAAGAAGTTCAGTTGTATGAAAAAAGGCAGTGTGAGTTGTCAAAGAAACATAAAATGGCTGTCATTAGTTATTAGTTATTAGTTCATTTCTCACTGAAGAGCAAGACCATCCTAAAACCACTTCATGTAAACAGAAACTGACATCTAATTTATTCAAGCTTGTTTAGTCTGATTTATATTTAAAGAAAATCACAGAAAACAAAAGAAAAATATGCCTATGTCCACCAAAACAGCCCAAAATCCAGCAGGACACAACCATCCTCATCTTGAGTGTTATAAGCAGGTTTTCTCTCATATTAAATAAAACATCTAAGATACCTGAAGTTATTATTATGCTTAAAATAACAAAAAAATTCTAAATATGACAAGTGAACTTTTGGACAGAACCTAATACTTACAGTGATGATGTCATTTTTCCGAAAGCCCAGTTCGTCGTCATCATGGCGCTCAAAATCCAGCAGGGCCTTGGCCCGCCTCCTCCGATTCCGAGATACGACCAGGAAGTTCTCGTGGTCCCTCTGATGAGACTCCATAGAGTAGTCTGGAGTCAAGTCCTAGAGGTGGACAGCAATGTTATAGTTATCATGATAAATTACACCACGATACACAAAACCTCAAAAAATTAAGTATTATAATTAACCCTTGTGTGGTGTTCAGGTCTGTGGGAAAAATTACGCGATTTATTATTATTTCAACCTCAGATTCTTGGCCTTTGCTCATTTTCTGTGAAGAACATATAAAATACTTCACTCTGTTCACCCCCCACACATTTATATTACACATGTGGTGTTGGGTGAACCCGCAGGGAACAAAAGTGTGGAGGTGCTGTGTCCTTCACTCTGTTCTCCTCCTACATGGCCTGCTGTAAGTGTGTGTGTCTATGTGTGTATGTGAGGGTGGACAACACAGACAGGCTGCTGACTGGCTACAGCTGCTAAAGGAGAACGCTGGACATTCGTGATATTTTAAACATTTGGTATTTTTACATAAATTATTAAGGTTGTATTGATTAAAAAAACAATAATGCAGTGGGTCCACCAGACCACTGAGTAAAACAATATCAACACCACACAAGGGTTAAGTAAAAATGCACTCCAGTGCTGCGCTCCCTTCACTGGCTTCCTGTAGTCGCACGCCTCAGATTTAAAACCCTGATGCCTACAAGGCCAAAAACAGACCAGCCCCTCCCTCCCTGATGGCAATGGTCAAAACTCGAACTGTACCTCGAGCCCTTCGAGCTTCGAGTACAGCTCGGCTTGACCCGCCAACCTTAAAGACGCGTGGAAGACAAGCATCAAGACTTTTCTCTGTCCTGGCACCCAGGTGGTGGAATGAACAGAGCAGTTCAGCGGACTGAAGACACGCCTCTTTACACAGCACTTAAATGAGCACTGAGTTAAGTACTTACTGAAATGTTTTGTACTGCACTGCTCTGTGTTTAACTCTGTTTCTTTTCTCTAGGTATCAACATGGACTTCTGTTTCTAGCAGTATCTGAGCTCAGGACTGGCTTTCTCTCTAACCTACTTGTACCTAGCAAAGACACTTTCTCTAGAATAACAAAGCACTTTTTGTAAGTCCCTCTGGATAAGAGCGTCTGCTAATGTAAATATAAATGTAATAATGTTAATTCACACAAACAGAATCCGCACCGTTCTTCTGGACAAGCTTGCCCTTTGTTTCATTTGCATGTACCCCAGCTATCTTTGCCGGACTGAAAATTTATTTATAATTTTTTAAACGGCGTTCAAACTACGCATGTACAGAATTTATTCGTTAGTATTGTTTTGTTTGTATATCCAACAATTAAGTGCAATTTTTTCTGTTGTACATATTTTTTAATTAACCATAGCTTAGAATGACATAATACAAAAGCGGTGGTTACCAAAGAGTGACCGATTCTTTGCATATCATTAACGCTTATTTAAATATTCATCAGACTCCATAACATCAATTGTCAGCTTATGGCTAATAATACATCACAAACATGTCTCTGCATGTTTCTACTGCCCTTATCAAATCATGAGAGAGATATAATATGAGAGAGAACAGTGACATCAGCAGATCTCCAGCGTCTGGATGACTGACAGTAATGATGCGTCCGTGGGCGGCTCTGGCAGCTGCCAGACAGTCGAGTAAATTAGAAAACCTGCACCTCCAATTCTGGGGCTGAAGCATGACGATAAGCTCATGTTTAAAGGAACAAAAAATCAGTTTGAGTGACTCATCTACAGTGACACTGTGATGACTCACACTGCTGCAGTGGCTGGAGCTGCAGCCTGACAGGCTGATGCAATATAAATAAAGCTTTCACTGATTCACTGATTTGGGTGTGCTGAGTACATACGAGTCACATACGGAGGCCCAAGAGGAAATACGTCTGCGCTCTATAATCATCTGATGACACTAAATGAAATACTGTGGTATGCTACTGTTCTTGTATTATCACTCATTACACAATTATTAACTAAAAACAAAACAGAATTAATAAAAAAAATATACTGCAATAAGCTTTGCACAATAATGCCAAATTATCTGCCCCCATCATTTTAAATACATGGAATTCTGTTTTATAAATCTATTCTATTACAGCTTTATTCTAAATATTAATTTCATTAATTTTTTTTCTTTCTAATTCTTGTTATTAATTGTACAATAACTTGATTCCAGTCATTAATTTTATAACAACTTCATTCTGATTATTAATGTTATTGCAACTTCATTCTAGATAATTATTTTATTATTAGTTCATTATCAGACATTCATTTTATTACTACTTAATTCTAGTCGTTCCATTAGATCAGAGGTCGGCAACCCAAATGTTAAGAAGAGCCATTTTGCCAGGTTTCAACAAAAAATCTACCACCTTGGGAGTCACAACATTTCATGTTCATTTTATTGAAGTGACATTTCACCATCTTGGCTGTAAATATGTCTCAGGATGTGTTAAAGTCCTAGTATACGCTAAAAATATAATATAGACCAAAACGCAGCTTTAAGTTTAGCTTGGCTATAGCTGCTTATCTTCGTTTCTTGTAAAATGTCTCTTAACGTTTGACTTTTTACGAGGCTGAAGTCACTTCTCATCCGAATTTTCCCGTTCCACCTTAAAAAATGCCTGAGGCACCAGAACTTAGTTAACTATGTAGCCAACTGTTGCACCATTTAAGGTGGAACGGGACAATTCAAACAAGAAGCTGGCGAATGAGAAACTGACTACAGCTTTGTGACTTTTTAGCGTTTGTAAGCTTCTCGTTGCAGATTAAACGTATCAGGAAACAGCTGGAGTGATTATAAATGTAAATAACTCCATTCGTCTCCAAATTATCAATGTTCATCTTAAAATCTCTCTCTTTGCGGTTTTGTTAACTACTAGCTAAGAGAGATTGTCTGCATTGCTATGGTGACCAGCAGTCTGCGCTGATCTTCAGGGTTAAAGGGTGAATTATCAGTTCTACATTAACTGCAGCGTTTAAGTTGTTTTATTGTTAAACTGTGTTGAACGACCAGCAGAGCTTTATTTTACTGCAAAGGAGGATTATTTTATTTTTACTTACAAATCTAATTCTGCTGTGGAGCCTCAACAGGGCAGTAAAAGAGTTGCATGCTGCTGACTCTGCATTAGATTCATTCAATAGTCATTGAGCTACAACTTCTTTCTGGATATTAATTCTATTAGAACTTCATTCTGTATATTAATTCTGCTCACATGTAAACTTGTGAATTTGTACTGCACAAACATTTTTCAACCATTCTATAAATGCATTTGCAACTAATTTGAAAACTGATTCCAAACTTTTTAAAGAACTGCAACTGTGAGTGACTGGCTCAGTGTTTGTATGAGTGGACTAACTGAAGGCTGAGGGACTGACCATGGTGCAATGTCGGGGGTCCAGGCAGTGGAAATGTTCCGCAGTGCGGGTGATAGCCTCTCTCAGGGCGGCTACCAGCTCCGTCTGTTTGATGTTTTTGGCCTTCAGTGCTTCAGCCTCATCTTCCCCGAACAGCAGCGAGCTCAGCGTGGACTTCCTGCGCAGGCTCTGTCTGCGGACCACCTGCACATTCACAGTAACCACAAATGTAAGCATGAAGTTTGCTTTTTAAGTTTTGCGCTGGAGCTATGAGGCTAATGTAGCTAACAGGTCATGGAAACTGAAAAGTCTAGTTAAGTAACTCAATACTGATATCACTGTTTTCAGCTATGCAAAGTACTTTAGTCCACTTTACTCCATGGTGATAACAGTGTGACATACAGTGTCAAAATCCACATAATCACGTCTATTAGACTCTATTAGTGTGATGATTTAGGTATGCAATTAGCACCATGCTACTTAGTGGGGTATAAGTTTCCATTGCTTGTTAGCTACATTAGCCTCATCGCTATTGTGCATTTAAGTGGAAACTGTTGATTGTTTTACTAAAATTATCACTTTAAATTTCACCAAATTAACCCGACGGCCCAAAGTCGCTCATTTAAATCTGCCACCAGACAAGCTGCGCTGTGTGCAACAGTATAATCACTTGATCAATTTCAGTGTGTACAATCTGAGCTTTCTGTGTCCTACTGTATTTTCTGTTAACCCATAAAAGATGTACGAGGCTTCCTTTATTATGGGATGCAGTGTCAGAACTGAACTCATTCAGAGCACAGTTTGAATCAGTAAGCATGTATTATTGCTCTGTTAATCAGAGTAACAATAAAGCATGACTGATGTGTGATATGGTTCTATTCATGTGTTTACCTGCTCAAAAGGGTAGTTTGAGACAAAATAATAATAAAAAAGATTCTGATTGTTAGATTCTGTACATATCAAAATGAACACAGCATCAGAAATCACACTATTAACAAAAGAATATATAAAACGGCAGAAATAGCCACGTTGCATCAGTGTTGAGGCAATGTACCGGCCACCTTGATAGCCTGCTATGTGGTGTCTGCTTTGCCCTGTCTGGTGTTGGCTGTGCCTGAGCTGGCGCTTGCCTTGTTGAGGTTGGTGTTAAGCGAATGAGAGTTGTTCGAGTTGAGCTGGGCCTGTTCGGCCAGGATGTAGGCCAGGTGTTTGTGTCTGTGAGCGTCCAGCGTTTCCTGAGAAAGTGAGCCAGCCAGCCTCACGGCCTCCCCGAGCACCGCCGCCCCATCCTCCAGCTGACTGGGCAGGTCAGACAGCGTGTTGAAGATGGACGCCGAATTCTCTGATGACACAAGCTCCTCCTCCTGCCAAGAAAAGCCAGAGAGGGACGAAAGGTGAAGTTAAGAAAGATGTCAGCTGGCTAAAAGTGTTAGTAGAGGTGGGTGATATGATATACCGGCATTACGAACAATATGCAGCGTGTCCCAAAAAAAAGTGACATCATTTCAGAGTCTAATAACAGCCAATTCTCCCTCAAATCTCAAATTTTAACAAAATGTGTAAAAACTAACCAAGTTTAAATTTTTAATGTTTTTTTCAGGTTGAAGAACGGCGTTCACTAGTAATGAAAAGGGATTTTGTGTGTTAGAATATGCTCGAACACAGTCAAACGAGTGAGCAGCGTGCATTTTCGAGAACATTCAATAAAAAATGCCTCAACTGGAAAGCAGATTTGGACACGGCACAAAAAATTCAAAGAGGAAGGCTGTCTGTGCAGCGCAAAGGGATCTGGACGAACACCAGTATCGGAAGATTTTACATTTGTGAAGCTGTGAAATCGGTTATAAAATCTACATCCCTCTGAATCTCTTGTTCGAATTTTAAAAAATAAATCTTGTATTGTTCAACATGAAGCCTATTTAATTTTGCCTGGATATGTAGTTACTCAGATATTCACATCTCAAATTATGTCAATTTTTTTGGGACACCCTGTATAACATACCATGATATTGACAAAATAAGCTTGTTTTGGCAATTGGACTTTTAATAAAAAAGTGGCACATTCAGTTTTATGCCGATCATTTCCCTGATAAACAACTTAAAATTAAGGATTAATTTCCAATGATGCATTCAAAGTACTTGTGTTTGTCTTCATTAACCGATTAAAATCTGCCCTCGGAGTAGCTGGTGAGCGTGCATGTCCATGCTGGTCAATAAAAGGATCATCATGTGGAACCGGAGTTTTCTATGAGCTACCTTATTGCCTATTACTGTATAAAAACCTCCAAGCTGTCTTTATTGTCGGATGCACTGCAGTAGTTTCTGAGGAGGTATTTGCTCACTTTAAGAATGCATTCACAAAACAGTTATTATTAGGCCCTTATTATTATCAGGCCTACCAGTGGACCCAAAGTTTTATTACGCACTTGAATAGCCTAAGAATAGCTCCACCTGTTTACACTGAAGACCCTGTACTTACTGAATAATAAGCCTTAATATGTAATAAACCTGAGATTTTAAGGGGTTAAGCATAAATGGTTGTAGGGACGGCTACAGTCACTAAGAAACTAACACAATGATGGAATAAATATTTAGGCTACGTTCACATTACCAGGTTTCAAGTGGCACAAATCCAATTTTTTGTCCTCATGTGACTCAGATCTGATGTTTTCAGGGCTGTGTGGACACAAATCTGATCTTTTCAAATCCGACCTAATCCACTTTCATATGTGGTCCTAGATCGGATACGTGTCCAATTTGTGGTCATGTGACCTTAATGTGATGCTCAGATTGGAATTCATGTGCTTTTTTTTCCACTGCACGTGACCATCATTCAGCGTTACCATGGCAGCAGCGCCGAACAGAAGTTAAAGCCTGTAAATGGTGGAAAAGTAACACATCTCACCTTTTTCCCTTCGTCTCGCTCTAATAATGAAGCTGAGAGCTGATCAGAGTTAATTATCTTCTCAGCGAAGCTCGTTCTGCTCGTTAGTCTGTTTGCCGACGATGCCAGGATTCATTCACGTGACATTACTGAGTAGGATGTGTGCATGCAGGTCATTTCAGGACGCCGACTCGTTTACATTAATGACAGATTTAAATCACTTACCTAAACGAGTGTGAACCATCGTGTCAGAGACATTTGAGCAAAAGATCGGATTTGAGCAATGAGGCTTGTAATGTGAACGTAGCCTCAGTCTCTTTCCTCTGAACTCATAGTGAAGTTTAGTCATTTTGCACTGACTATAAAAGGTTAACAGCTTTAACTACGTGTAGTTTACATCATTTTAACTGTGTGAAACTCAGTTAGTGAAAAATCACTAAAAACCTTATTCAAAAGTTATGCAATGGTCTGGAAGAAATATGCCCTTTCAAAGTAATGAGATGTCAGTCTAAGCCTTAAAGAGATTCAATCCAAAAGTTTTTTGTTTTAGCCACTGACCTTCAAAATAACTGAGACCAGCACTATATTCTGTAAAGCCAATTCAAAGTTCTGAAGCCCTATTTAAACCACAAGACTGAAGCTCATGTGCTTCACACAGTGGCGCTGGTAGATAAAGACACAGTGTTTTAATTTCCAAAGGCAGCGCTCAGGGGCGGGTCTTAAATATAGCCCACTGAGGATGAGCTAAAGAAGACAATCTGCCTTTGTGCCTTCATCACTCGTCCACTTAAAAGACTGAAACTAGCTAACAAGAGGGCCTATATTAAAGGAAAGAAACACACTTTGTCATATTCTAGCTTTCAAAACTTTCATATTTCATAAGCTACATTGAAAAGGTGGGTGTGATATGGGAGCTGGAACTGTCTTCTTTCCAGTCAAATAGATGGGTGATGTTATTTTAAACCCTTATAATAAAAGAAGCTGAACTCACAAATTTTTTTCTACTGAAAGTCGACCCATTTTTCCACAAATCTGGGCTATAAACTATAAATAGATGGCGTCTCTTCAGTGATCTGCTCTGTACAAATTATTTTTATAAAATAATACAAAGAGCGTCTAAGATTTTTGGCTTTCAGCAGTAAATTGTAAGCATATAGCAATATGTGTGATCATAAAACACATTCTGTTTATGTGAGGGGAGCTTTTACAAAAAAAATAAATAAAATAAAAAATTACATTTCAAATTTATTTCATGCAGTTACTGAATAATTTGCCTTACGCTTTGGTCATGTAAATTCAGATGGAGAAACCAAAATATACCCTGGAGAATAAGAGGTTAATGTGATAATATATTAACGCCACAATTTTTTTTGCCCGAATTTGACCCTTTGAACCATCCAATAGCAGCGCAGCCTGAAGCCCAGCTGCTGAGGCTGCATGTTGCTACAATATAATCTGCGATTGCAGCCCTCGTGTTTAAACACAGCTTTTAAATGCCTTTTAAAGCTTCAGCACCTTCAGCAGACTACGCTGTACTCACGGGAGACCTATAGATAAATCACTAGCAAAAGCAACAGCAAGGTGTAAATCTCTAGATCCCCTTGGAGAGCCTCCACTGTGAGAATCCACAAGCTGTATGAATGAGAGTGAGAAGCTTGAATCATCAAGTTTGACGCAGAAAATAATTTTCTTGAATTATTGAGAATATTAAATACATTCTGATGAAGTTTATTTTGTCCACTTATATATATATATATATATTTGACAAAATGCAATGCTTTTTAAACAGAATACATCTTCTTTAGGCAACTAATCAAGATTAATTATACAAATAAAGCCATTAATCACAATTCATTACTAAAATTCATTATTTTTCAAAAGGGCTGTCAAAAAAATTACATATTTCATTGAGATTAATCTTAATATTCTGTGTAGTTAATCATGATTAACTGCTTAACTTTGACAATAAGGAAAGAAGTGCATTTTGTTACAGCTATATGAGTAGAAATAGGTTTGGTTTGGCAGGTGGACTTTTAATTAAAAGGAAGAAAACAAAAATTACTGACTTTTCCATATCAAACATTATTTCGTATCGAGGTGTAAAAGCTACAACACGAAAGTAAATACACACCTTGATTTTGAGCATGCCCAGTGTGACCTGGAAAAGCACGATGGATCCCTCGTAGAAGAGCAGGTCCCAGATTCTCAGCAGGATCCGGATGTCCACCACGCTGGCGAAGGAGGTGAGGAACCAGTGCAGAGTGATCAGAGACAGCTCTGCGGAGCAGAAAGACACAAGATCACTTATTTAATCAACTTCATTTTAGGTTCAAGTTCATATACTGACCATATCAACACTGCAGGTCAAAAAACATCCACCTGCACTCCCAAAATGTCTTATGAAATCAGCAGCTTAAAAAAGGTTAATCTGCTGCAGTAACAGCCTCCACTTTTCTAGGAAGGCTTCACACTAGGTGTTGGAACATTTCTGTGAGGACTGCATTCAGCCAGAAGAGCATTAGTGAGGTAAGGTACTGATGTTGGATGATCAGTTCTGGATCACTCCACCTCATCCCAAAGGAGTTGGATGGAGCTCCATCACTCCAGAGAACGCAGCTCCACAACCCAATGCGGGGGGGCTTTACATCCCTCTAGCCCAAGCTTGCCGTTGGGCATGGTGGCCTATTCTATTCTTATTCTACTGGTCAACGCTTTTCTATGGAGATCACATGTATTTTAACACCCTGGTTCATCAGCTGTGTGCGTGTCTCACCGATGTCATGCTCCTGCAGCAGTCGATCCAGGCGGGGCAGGTACTGCACTATAAGCTGTCGGAGAACGCGCTGGTCCGTCTGTACCCCCAGCAGTGTGGAGGAGAAGTAAGATGGAGGCAGCAGGTCCTCAATCAATGCACACATCATCCACAGAGCATCCTCTTCCTCCAGAAACAGCAGCAAGCACGACACCACCTACATGAGAAAAGACCACGGAACAAAAGATAGCAGTTAAAGTGATTGTTTGGCCCAAAATGCAGCTGTGAGGCTAAGGTAGTTAACAAGGAATGGAAGCTTATTAACCACCAATTAGCACTGCACAAACTGCGCCCCGGGTAGTATTTAATTAAAGCTCTGCAGAAGGAAAGCAACGTTAACACAAAAAGTCTAGAAAATAGAATCACATCTTGATCTCAGAACTGAAAACTGTATAGAATCTGAAAATATGACATATTTTTTTAGACCCCTACATAAACCACACAAGCAAGTCTGTTAGAGATTACTGAACAACTCCAAACTGCCTGAGGCAAGTGTGTGATGGCATAAGGTTAGCACCATGCTAACTGGTGGATTAGCATGCAATTAGGATCACATTAATTTGGCGGGTTAGAAAGCTCTGGACATAAATCATGTCTTGGCTGACTGACTTCAAATTTTTGTGGCAGAAAACTGTAAATTTCAATTGTCACTGCGCTACTTTAAAGAAGCAGTAGTTTTGAATTGGATTCTACAGACATTACAGCAGTAAATACAGTCGAATGCAAAACTTTCAGCACCCCTGGTCAAATGACAAGTGAAAATAAGTTAACACATCCTGACACATACAGAGAACAAAGTAAAATATTGCATAGTGCACAATTCTTTTAATTTACTTTAACTAACACATCTGCGTGGTCTGCGTGGGTTTCCTCTGGGTACTCCGGTTTCCTCCCACAGTCCAAAAACCTGCAGTTAAGATAATTGGATATGCTAAATTGCCCCTAGGTGTGAGTGAGTGTGTGATTGTGTATGTCTGTCTGTCTGCCCTGTGATGGACTGGCGACCTGTCCAGGGTGTATCCTGCCTTCCGCCCAATGACAGCTGGGATAGGCTCCAGCACCCCACCGCGACCCAGAAGGATAAGCGGTTTAGATGATGTATGTATGTATGGACCAACAGAAATTATGCAAAATTACTTGGAAAAAAGTCTGGTTCTGGTTGGTGTGTGTGTGTAAAATATGCCATAATGTTTCCACTGACAACATTTTATGTGATTTTTTTTTACCCAATATGTTACATTCAGCAAATAAACAGTAATTGGGCATTACAATTTGCAGAAGTTCTCTGTAGAGAACGTGTTAACTTGTTTTCACTTAGAAAATGCCCAAACCTTTGCATACAACTGCATGCAAGATAAAAAGAGAGAGAGCGATAAAGAGAAAGAGTGTTTCTCACCATGCCAGTACCCTGGCAGTAGCCGATGTCTGGGTAGAGCCATGCCAACCCTCTGAGTACCCGCCTGAGCCTGGGCACGCCAACACTCATCAGAGTGCTGAAACACGCATTAGTGGGCATCGTCCGCAAAAGGTCCTTCTCTATCTGAGACGGAAATGATAACAAGCATGTAAGAGACAGGCATGAAAGCCAATTCTGGGATTAATCTATCAAACCTAGAAGATCATTTGTGTGCGGATTAAATTTTTCTCCAGAATAGTTGGTGAATGTCTATGTCCACGTTGGTCAGTAAAATGGATCAGCATGTGAATTTGGAGCTTTCTGTGAGCTGCAGTGTTTCCTATCCCTGTATAAAAGAAGCTCTATGCTGCTTTTGTTGTTGGATGCACTGAGCAAGCATATGCACAGATACGTTCAGAACGCAATTTACATTGCAATGGAAATGCTTATTATTGATCTGTTTCATCAGAGTAACAATAAAAGTATATTCTTTGTTTGATCAAGTTGCTTACATATCAAAATACACTGATCAGGCATAAAATTATGACCACCTCCTTGTTTCTACGCTCATTTTCCATTTATCAGCTCCACTTACTATATAGGTGCTCTTTGTAGTTCTACAGTTACAGACTGTAGTCCATCTGTTTCTCTGATACTTTGTTACCCTGTTCTTCAGTGGTCAGGACCCCCATGGACCCTCACAGAGCAGGTACTATTTGGGTGGTGGATCATTCTCAGCACTGCAGTAACACTGATGTGGTGGTGGTGTGTTAGTGTGTGTTGCGCTGGTCTGAGTGGATCAGACACAGCAGTGATGCTGGAGTTTTTAAAAACTCCAGCAGCACTGCTGTGTCTGATCCACTCAGACCAGCGCAACACACACTAACACACCACCACCACGTCAGTGTTACTGCAGTGCTGAGAATGATCCACCACCCAAATAGTACCTGCTCTGTGAGGGTCCATCGAGGTCCTGACCACTGAAGAACAGGGTAACAAAGTATCAGAGAAACAGATGGACTACAGTCTGTAACTGTAGAACTACAAAGTGCACCTATATAGTAAGTGGAGCTGATAAAATGGACAATGAGCGTAGAAACAAGGAGGTGGTCATAATGTTATGCCTGAACAATGTATATGTGACAACAGCTTTAGGATTAAAAGGATAAAATGGTGCTTTTAATGTTGTTCAACCTAACAGTATGCCCATCATCCATCCGTTCTGTGATCGCTTGTTCAATGTTTGTGCCTGAGACAAACTGTACCTGTTTGGCTGCTGTGGTCTCATCATTTGAGCTGTTTTTAATGATTTCTCTGTAGGAAATCTCTGAAGTCCTTTTCTTCTGCAGGGCCCCCGATAGACGCATCCATAACTAACAGATGGAGTTAAAGGGAAACAAAAAACCACAAGCAGATCATGAGATACAAGCCCATCAGCTGTTTTCCCATGATCACAGACACAGACCGTTCTAAGGCATTCTGTTTAGAAGCTCTAAAAATACTCTGAGTGGCAGAAACGGTGCACATACTGCATGACTAAGCCCATTTACAAGCATCTGTAAAGCAGGAAAATGGTTACCATAGAGAAATTACATCAGCATATGACACAGAACAGCCTGATGGCCCATAATAAACACAGCAAACACCAACAAACACGACTCAATCCGTCTCAGATCCCACAGTCAACACGAACCAGAGAGCCATACTGAAGAAATATTGTATGAAAGGGGAACTCCACCAGTTTTTTCTAAATTTGCATGATGAAATGGTTAAAATGTTAACAAAGTCATTCAGAGTGTTTTGGTGTGAAATGCTCAGTTGTAGAGAAACTTAGAGTCAGAATTTTTCAGAGGTGGTGATGGGAACCAGACGTCGAAGAGTTTAAGGCCTCTGAAAGCTCCCTCACATAAAAGTAATATGTATTCTTAACCACAAAATGGTTAAGAATACACTGCCTGACATCTAAAACACTGCCTTACGACAGCTTTGAGAAGGTTTATGCTTAAAACGTTTTTTTTTTTGTTTTGTTTTTTTTTAATACATTCAGGGTGACTGGGTACATGCAGGCTGTTGAAATGTTATTAGTCCCCACAAAAGATGATTTGATCAGATTTATCACTATTTTACCATCAACACTATATATAAAACTCAAAAGATGTGCACAGAGTCAATGGTTTTGGATAGTAAATAAAATGGCTATATTTGTGTACACATTGCGACCTCTGGTTCCTATCACCACCACTGTGAAAAAAAAATAAATAAAAAAATCTTAGTAACTAAGTTTCTCAACAATTAACCATTTCACACATACCACAGGACTTTGTTTACATCTCAGCCACTGAATTTGGCAGCAAATCAGTTGAATTTACCCTTCAAAGTGACTCCTCTTTAAATAATTGTAATTTTGCAAAATTATTTACTTAAATATTATATTATTTTATTTTAATTAATTACAAAGCATTATGTTAATTGTTACTCATGGCTCAATAAAACAGGACATTTTCTGAAAAAGAGCAGATTCTAAACTTTGACTCCTTACCGCATCTGTTACTCAAAAAAAAACAGAATTTAAATCATTTTATTACAATATGCATTTCAACTTTTGCAAAAACAGCAACTATCAGCATGATAAAATATTTTATATACATGGCATCTACAGGATGCTTTTGATCAACCTATGAATAAAAAACACCCTGACAAAATTAACTGCTTTGAACATCTCACTTTGGATAAAGGACTCTCTGACTTAATTTCAGAAGGTTTAAAATATAGTTATAACAGTGTGTATATATAGTTTTAATATATAGTTTTAACAGTGTGTTAAAACTAAACCTGCCATGTAGAAGCTTAAGCCTGGATAGCTCTTACTGTGAGTTCACATGCATCAAAACAGTGCTATATTACAGCCACAGACAAGGAGATTAAAATAATATATGAGTGAATTCTGTTTTGTGTCAAGAACTCTTTTGTTGCAAATAGTTACCTCTGTGGCACTAAAACATATGGGAATTGCTATGGGAATATGAGAAGCATGTTGCACTGGAAACTGTTTAAATACATGAAATAATCTGTTTTACCCTGTGTTAGGCTGCGCCCGGCACTCCCTATGTAATTAATCATCTTACTAGAATTAAATAATAGAAAAATGACAACAGGTTTTAGGGTTCGTTAACGGACACGGTGGTGCACACCTGTGGTCTCATGCTGTGTGGAATTCCGCCCAGTATGAGTGATCGGAGCCGTTCGGAGCGCGGCAGGCTCGGAGAGATTTTGTCCCAGGTGAGGTCGCCCACTGTGTGGTTGTGGGTAAACTCCAGGTGGGCCTGCCAGCGCAGCCTCTGCTGTGGGTCTTCTCTCTGTGGAGCTCCATCCCCCCGCAGCCACTCACGTGATTCTACGCCATCTAACACATAAAGCACAGGGAGTTCACATTTGATTAAGTTTACATATTATGGAAAACTCAACTTTCTCATTGAAAAATGTAGTTTAATGTGGTACATAAACATCTTTAAATGTTCATTCCTCAGTCCATATATGTGAACTGCAAAAGCTGTAGAAAGCAGTCATTTACATATATCCACCTATTCGGCTGACAGCAATTTAGCCCATTCATACTGAAGTTATAATTAGGGCTTCAGCCTGGACTGTAGGCTATAATGAACGAGGCACAATACAGGGCAGCCAATCAGAATAGAGGTCATTTACATAGTCATATGCAAAGGTTTGGGCACCCCAGGTCAAATTTCATGTCTTGTTGATTTTCTCAGTGAAAATAAGTTGACACATCATCTACAGAGAACACAGATGTGCACATTTTAATACATAATTATTGTTTATTTGCTGAATTTAACATACTGGGAATATATAAAACAAAATGTGGCCTGTGCAAAGGTTATGGCACATTTACATGGTACATTTTATTGTTTAATTTTTATGTTAAACTAGGCAAATAAATAGAAATTGTGCACTGAAATTAGCAAAAAATGCCACATTTAAGTTTGTTCCCCATAGAGGATGTGTATACTTATTTAAACACAACATGTAATCTGATCACAGCTTTTAAACCTTTGCATATAAATGTATTTTGCAGCTTGCTTAATTCAAAGGGATAAAAAGAGGCTAAAAAAATAGTCATGTAGAAAAGAATCATGAGTGTTTTGATGTATAAAACAACACAAATGTCATAAAAGGGCTTCATTAAAAAAATAATAACACTAAAGACATTAGAAAAGTCTTCAAACCTACCTTCACTGTCAATCCTGAAGCCAAATTCATCATACTGAGGTTCTGATTCCATATTCTGGTCTTTCTGTAAAGGCCAGAGCGAAAACAACAGCAACAGACAAGAATACTAATTAATATATATAAAATATTATATTATTATACAACTAATGATAATACAAACGTTTTCATAACATTAAACTTTCTCAGACTCAATCTTCCTTTATAAAAACACACATGACATTTCAGTCTACAGGGGCTATTTAGCACTTTTATATTTGGGTGCTGAATACAGTTTTATGAATTTTTAAACATGACAGTGTCATAAAACAATCACAACTGAGGGATTTACATACATTAAAAAATGTAAATTACCTGATAGTACTTGGCCAGGATGTCCTGGGGCCACATACTGGGCGTGAGAGCCGAGAAAGGGCCCCCAGGGGCCGGAGTGTAGCTACCTGCAGAAAAATATGAGACTGGATTACGAAGCTGCACAATATATCATTTGTTAATCATCATCTCTGCATCAGCCTTCACAACACTGATGCAGCAGCAGTCTGTAATTTACAAATGAGCCTATAACTAAATCACTGAATGTTTTATCGTATGTTTTGAGCACCATGACCAATCAGAGATGCTCTGTGGCTGGTTTGGCTGAATCAAGCCATTCAAATGACCCAATAATGGTGAGGTGCATTTGCACAAAATCTGCAGGCCACTTAAACCCAACATCAAATCAAAAGCTTTAAGTATATCGCAAGGCACACTGCAATTACAATATGTAGCAACATAATCTCTATATTATGGGTGGGAGGCCACACAGTACGATATTATGACGATACTTAAAGCTACACTATGTATGTTTTGAAGATGTGGAGACCTCTCTGGTGGAAAAGCGTAATTGCAAGCACTGTGCGGAAGAACAATCTGAATGTCAGCTGTGCTTCAGACCCTTAGCAGACGAATCTGATGACTGTGTAACTCAGTCAAAACTTGGTGAAGGAAGCGTCTTCCGACGATGTCAGTGAGTTATTTACTATCTTCATCATATCTTCTTGGGTATAACGCTGATTTTAATGTTGACACTGAGCCGGACCTTATTTCTGAGCATGCGTGTGGCGTCAATAGAAATATCGGATAGGCTGGCTGATACGCAAAGTTTAATACTGATGTTGAAAAAGAGATGCGCTTTTTAAAGCCTCGTTATTGTGATTTGACATACTGCTTCATACACACTTCTTGATTTATTACTTTTGGCTGCAAATTTTATACCCTTTAGAAAATGTATCTAATAACATTTACACTTGGTGTTTTGTCCATATTGTGTGGCTCTACAGAATAAGAAAAACAGCAAAAGTGAGAGCGTCTGCTGTGAAGAAAAACAGAATGAATCAATGAAAAAATGAGTGGCTAATTCAGTAAAACGGTCTAAACTGAACATCTTCAGTCTTAGTGTTCAATGAAAATGCACATTTAAAGCAGAGAAGAGGTCAGGAGGACTTACCTGACATGCTGGCAGAACTGCGGAGTCTTTATGGTTTGGACAGAAGAGCTGGACTGAGGAGAAAGAGAGGAAAAAAAAAAAAAGAGTCAAAGGTAGTTCCACTGACCCACATTACAGAGAAGACATTCTTATGCAACGCCCTAGACAACTTCATCAATAGCACATGAACAAACATGACTTGATGACCGTGTTTTAACCTCAGAGCCTGAAGGAATCATCAGCAAAACCTTATAATAACATAACATCACAAAATATCGGAAAATAAGTCCTGTAGCTCTATTTTTTCCATTTTCAAAAATTTGAAAACAGCTGCTTTTTACATTGTGTGAAAATTTCAACACAAACAGATCAATAGAAATGCTCCAAAATTAATTAGAAAAAAAAATCTCATTAACTTACAGTAGCCACGTTTAAATGCAGCCTGATAATCCATTAATAATTCGACTAATAGTTCAACTGGAATAGAATACGTCCATGTAAACACCTCAGCCTGAATAGACTAGTCTGATTGAAGCCATATGGAATACAGTCTCTATCTGATTTAACGAGGTGCGTAATCCTGTAAATAATCCATTAAATAGAAGAATAATAACCATGTAGATGCCTGTATCCGATTACATTCCCTATCTGAAAGTTGATCATGTGCGTCACGTCATAGTGAAAGTTTATACCGTTCAACATGGCGGAGCAGAAACTGGTCTGCAGAGGAGACGAAGTTTATGCTCTGACCTTTAAATGACGGCGGTGGGACGGACGTCCAGCTTATGTGTCTCAGAACTAGAACGCATGCAGAGAAAATCTTGGTCACAGTTTTAGTTCCAAACCATACAAGCCTTATTTGAATTCCTCAGTAAGTAACAAGAACAACACTGAGGTGAGTATAATTAACCATGTAAACCCATCAATAAATGGACAAAATGGTCAAAAAGGAAAAGTATTTGCGGAACATGACAGTGGACGTCTGAGACGCGGAGTAAAGTTGTATGGACTGATGGGTCTAAACTTAAAATTGGGACTTCTTTGATTGTTAGAAGGAGAAAATTAAGCCAACTTGAACTTTGGAGGTGTGGAAAAATATGCCTGCAGATTTCTCTGAGAAACTCAATGTGAAAACTGAATTAAGGCGGACAAAGTAAATAATAGGGGTGGGAATCTCTAGGCTCCTCACGATTCGATTACGATTCAGAGGCTGCGATGCGATTATAAAACGATTATCGATGCATCTCTATTTTCTCACTGTGTGAGGACTTCGTGCTTTTAAAGCAAAGTATTCGTAATGATCCATGAATTTACTTCCAATATCCTTAATTAATAAATCAAAGGGAAGTGATGTGGTAAGTCAACTGGAAGACTCTCACTCACTGCTGTTGTTTGGAGCATGAGACACTGGCTGCCACTCATCTGCGATAAAATGCGCTGTTACGGTGACATAAGATCCTGTGGCACTGGATGCCCACGCCTCACGTTACAGCTATTCTACCCCTTTTCTTCAGCGATTCCATAACTTTGGTTTTGGTCTCTTTGTAGAGAGTGGGGGGATCGCTGTGTCAGTAAAATATCTTTGAGACGTCTGAGAACTGGCGTGCAGACTGCAGGTCACATAGCAACGCACTCTCGCCTAGCTAGTAACTAACGAAAAGGCAGAGAGAGAGACTTAAGATTTAAGATTTATTTAAGATTTATGTTAAATCTGCAACAAGAGACTGTCAAACACTAAAAAGTTGCGAGGACGAAGTCAGCTTCTCCTTTGAATTTTCCCGTTCCACCTTAAACGGTGCATTTACCACCTTTTACGCATTTACATTCGGCGCCTCAGTCAGACTTTAAGGTGGAACGGGAAAATCTGAACAAGAAGCTGGAGAGTGAGTAGTGACTTCAGCCTCGTAAAACAGTCGAACGTTGAGACACTTTACAAGAAAATATTCTACCTTTGAGGAAAAGCGTCCCAGCAGAAATTGGAGGAAAGCGGCTACAGCTAAAGCTTAAAGCAGAGCGAAGTAAATCTGCGTTTTTGTTTACATTGTTTAGCCCATACTAGGACATCAGCACATACTGAGACATACGGGACATTAAATGTTGTGGCTCCCGAGGTGGTTTGATTTTTGTTGAAAGGACAAAATGGCTCTTCTTAACATTTGGGTTGTGACTCCTGATCTAACCTGGCTTTAATGCAGAGGGAGCCGGTCAGATTTCTCGCTCATCCAGTAGTGTTTTTGTTATGTGCCGCCACAGACTGTCCGGGCGCTGCACTTACCCACTTCCAAGTTCTGCCTTTTGCGTTGCGTCAACATTACGTTATAAATTAAATATTTAGAAAATCGATTTTTGACATTTGTCAATGTCCACGTCCGCATCGCGATGCATCTAAGAAACAATTTTTTTCTCCCACCCCAACTAAATACTGAAGAAAGTTATCCTAAGTTGTGGAGGTTTCTGTGTAATTTTCTGTGAAATATGTTTTCTGATATGATAAGTCATGAGTTATGCCTGATCGGTGTATTATACATATTACAGTTGTGATTACATTAAAGACACACTGGCAAATCAATAATGAAAAATGATAATTTTTGCCAAAATAATTTTTGTTGTTGAATCATGGAACACGTGAACACCTTGATCCTATAATTGGTCATGATGGTCACAGCACACAGTAAAAACCACTGTGATTGGTCAAAGGACTTGTGCAGCCCTGTATATGTGTTTTGCTGGAGAGTGAAACCTCTAAGTAGGTCAGACATTGGAAGAATAGATTCTGTAGATTCTTAATCTCTGTTTTGCCTCCTGTCCTCTATTTCCTCACTTTCCTTCCTGTAAAGTAGGTTGCTTGTTTCCTCATCACTTGCCTTATCCCCCCTGGGACTGTCATGTTTTGGGCAGACCTAGCAAGGTAGGTAGATTAACATCAGTGGTCTTTGCGTTAGACCTGTAGCCTGCGATTATAATGTTTATTTACCACCATTTTCCTATCATTACAATTATATATAAAAAGCTCAAGAGAAACGTGGGTTCACTGGTGGTTTTGGATAGTAAATAAAATGTCTATATTTGTGTTGTAGTCATGGCGACCCCTGGTTCCTATCAGCACCACTGTAAAGAAATCTGACTACGTTTCTCTACTTTCACATCAAACCACTCCGAATGACTTTGTTCACATCTGAACAACTAAATCATGCAGAAGTCTTTTTTTAATCTGTTAAACTCCCTTTAAAGAGATGTAAACAATCAGCACGCTCAGCTCATCTCCCTTCCTCCTGCTCTCACAGCTCCTGTCTTATCTAATCTTTTAAAGGTGTATGCATAGACATATACGCTCAGCGTAAAAACCAAGCAGTGGAAACCACCAGATGTTGTGATATCTACTCCATCTCAGTGTAATGGCGGAAAACAGAAACAGAAAGAGGCCAAATCCACGGTTGTGATCAGTAGATAACTACTGAGCCGTAGAACAGTAAATAAGGAACAGGAGGAGTTCAGCGAAAGCTCAAGAAAGATACGGCAGTAACGTCACGCACTGGTGACACATTAAAGGAATGGGTCAGCCAAAAATGCTAATGTTCCTAACAATGAATGAAGGCGAATCTTCACTCATCAGCCTTGTTCAGATGACACTGTGCTAACTTCATGTTAATCATGGCAACTAGATTCCAAATACAGATATACAGCCACCCTTGCATGCAGGTTTACACGATTCCTTTCAGCTGGGCAATACTAGGCTACTTCGTGACGTGAGCTGCCATTCACGTTAACAACAAAGCAACTCAGTGACTTTTAAAGGAAACATTCTCTCATAAACCATAGGCTACGTTCACATTACATGCTTCATTACTCAAATCCGATCTCTCCGACATGATGGTTCACACTCGTTTAGCTAAGTGATTCAAATCTGTCATTAATGTAAACAAACTGGTGTCCTGAACTGACCCGCATGAACACATCCTCCTCAGTAACGTCACGTGAATGAATCACGTGCATCATCAGTAAACAGACGAACGAGCAGTACGAGCTTCGCTGAGAAGATAATTAACTCTGATCAGCTCTCAGCTTCATTATTAGAGCGAGACGAAGGAGAAAAAGGTGAGATGAGCTGCTTTTCCAGCGTTTACAGGCTTTAACTTTTGTTCGGTGCTGTTGCCATGGTAACGCTGAATGATGGCGCACGCGCAGTGTAAAATGTATTCCAATCTGAGCGTCACACTAAGGTCGCGTGGCCATGAATCGGACGCGTATCTGATCTAGGACCACATATTATAGTGGCTCAGGTCGGATTTGAAAAGATCAGATTTGTGTCCACACAGCTCTGAAAACATCAGATCTGAGTCACATGAGGGCAAAAAAAAAAATCAGATTTGTCCCACTTCAACCAGGTAATGTGAAGGTAGCCATATTTGCTCAGCCCCCTGTCCCTTACCACAAATGGGTCAGTCAGCCAAGACGTGTTTGGAGACTGAAGTTTGCTTATTTAGTTTTGCACTGGAGCTACAAGGCTTATTTAGTCTTTTTCGACTTTCACAGATTAAATTATACTGCATGCACAATGCTAATTAGTGTTGATGCACCAAAATGTCAGCCACTGAAAATTTTGGGGCAGAAAATGTTCAAATGCTGCTTTCTGTTTTCAAGTTAAGGAAAAAAAACAAAAACAAAAACAAAAACAAGGTTAAATAAGTCTACAACAAAGTCTCCAATCTAAGACATTACAAATAACTTTACTGGTAATGAAAATGACAGATAGTGATTAAATGCTGTTTGCTTCTTTCATTATCTCTGGTCAATGCTGATACATTCAAACAGTTTGAGCTGAAGCAGATCAACAGTAAAAATATCAGCCATGTATAACTATTTAAAACAACAGAAGCAGAAAGTCCCTGCCAGCTCCCCAATGCCATCTGTACTAGTTTTTGAGTGTACAGATGGCGTGGGGGACCAAAAAAAAATTTTTTTTAATCACAAACGAGTCACAGAGTAAAGTATAAAGGATTTCATGGCACATAGTGGTGGGCAATATGACAGTATTTTATCATTATCGTGATAAAGTATGTCACAATATGCTTTT